ATTTTGAAATGAATATAATATAATTTATTATCGGTTACGTGCACCTTGTGCATTAATTTTAAATAAAAATAATTTATGTAATTTTGTACAATCTAAATTTTATATAACATCTATATATATAAAAAAGGGTTGATGGAAAAATCCGAAATAGAAACTTTAAATAATTGTGTTGACTTTTTGACTTTCTATTTATGGAGTCTCATTACGAAACTTGGTTTTTTTTTTTCACGCGTTTATTATTTTTTTTCTGTAAAATCATGGCTTAATTTACGGGAACAACTTTCCATAGATTTCGTTTAAAAAAAAAAAGATTGGATAAACATTTTGGGATAAGCTATTTTGTGAAAATCCGTAAAAAAAAAAAAAGATTGGATAAGCATTTTGTGATAAGCATTTGCCTTATCTAAATTATTTAAACAACTTACCATTGATTTCGTGATAAGAATTTTATTTAAATCATTAATCTCATTCCTTTATTATCGTAACTACTTTTGTGATAAAATCCGATAACCTTGTGCCTTATCTAATATCTCTACCCACGTTTAACATGTAGAAAAACTCTACATAAAAGGTACATGCTGAGATTATTTTTTTTCACCTCCTCAACACGTGTAGGAAAATAAAAAATACAAAATACAAAAATTATTTTATAGCACCATTCAAAGGTACAGTAGACCTCGTGAGTCGATCCAACATACCGTTTTTGAAGTTGAGAGTAGTTCTACTGCTGGAAACTCATGACGATCCGGAGCATCCATACGCTTTTCATATCCTCTTTCATGATGAAGGGGTAATTATTTTCAAATGTTTTATCATTAACATTATTTTCATTGTTTGTATTATTTATTATTTTCGAAACTGATTTTATATTTTTTTTGTATTATTTATTATTTCAAATATGTAGGGTTCATACATTAAAGGAATAGTACGTTCGCAGCATATGAACATATTTCGAGATTGCCTTATACAAGGCGAGATGTATTTTATTCGCAACTACGATGTTGAATATAATAGTGGGAGGAATAATATAATAACTCATTGTTGGAAGATTGTCCTTCATGGAAGGACATATTTTATCAAATACAATGGGAATTTTCCTCAATACTAGCAATGATCGAGATATGGTTGCCGCCTGAATTTCTTAGGTTTTTATTATATATAATTTGATGATTTGGTCATATTTACTGTGAAATGGATGTGTACTACATTTTATCGTGAATAAATTTTTATTAATAGACTCCTCTTTCGATTTTGTACTTACATACAGTTCTTTTATTTTTTGTTTGTTTTATTTGTTCTACATGATTTATTTTCGTATATCCGTTTTGTTGTTCATTTTATTTGTGTTCTTTCAAATTCTAATAATTTACAATTTCATATTACTGAATTTATTTTATTTTATAATTTTATTCGATTAAATCATTGCATGCTTGAAAAATTTTTAATCACCTTTTTTTTGTATATATAAATATATAAGTATCTAAAAAAATTATTAAAATTTAAATTGCAATATATAATATGTTGTTGTCCCTACTAACAAAAAAAGGAAATTTTTAAATACATTTTGGTTGGAATTACTTAACAACTGATTATCATAAATATATTGCAAAATTGGACGATATAAATTAGCTTACTATATAAATTAGAACAAAAACTAACATAAAAAATTAATAAGTGTAAATAAAATATCATAATGAGCTATTATTAAAATTTAAATATTTAAATTAGTTTATTATTGAATAAGTTAATGTTTGCAATATTAGGTACATATTTCGAATTGCCCATTGCTAATATAAAAACAATAAAAAAATTAATTATGTACAAATCGGATACGATCAACATAACTCTATAACAAATGCAATTAACAACTCTTAATTGGATAATTAAGTGAAGATCTTATTTATCCCTAATTAAAACTAATTAGGATTATATGGAATAAAAGATTTGATGTTATCCTGTAGAACAAACTATTAGATAACTATCATGTGATATATAATTTCACACGGTTAGATAACTATTAAACATAAATAATCATAACAAACTTTTATACAAATTTTTCCATAATACATAAATAACGATTTTTTTAAATATATATATACCAAATCTGTAAAATTTTAGGAAAAAAAAAGACCTTATGTGTGTATGTTTTTAGGCACGTGTAATATGTTCCAATAATATCACATGCGCCGCTTAATTTAAATAATTTAAATATTTTGTTACTAATCTACAATTTCTGTGTAAAAAATTAAAAATTTCAATGCATTCGGATCCTTTATTTTTTATTTAAATTAGTTTATTATTAAATAAGTTAATGTTTGCAATTTTAGGCACATATTTCGAATTGCCCATTGCTGATATAAAAAAAATAAAAAAAAATTAATTATGTACTAATCGGATACGATCAACATAACTCTATAACAAATGCAATTAACAACAACTCTTAGTTGGATAATTAAGTGAAGATCTTATTTATCCCTACTTAAAACTAATTAGTATTATATGGAATAAAAGATTTGTTGTTATCCTTTAGAACGAACTATTAGATAACTTATCATGTGATAAATTAATTTAGGCACGTTCAATATGTTCCGATAATTCTGTTATATACATAGAGATATCTATATCTATATCTATATAAAAAGGTTGTTGTTAAATTCATTTTTAGAAACTTTGGCCAAATAAATAAATCAGTTGACTTTCTATGTTTAGACTATTTAAAAAAATGGGTAAGAACCATAATAAATCGAAAGATAAGGCTTTTTAAATTTTCAAAGATAAGGGTAAGAACCATAATAATCGAACTTCAAAACAAATTAATTAAAAAATTGATATTTGAGCCAATCCAACAATTGATAGAAACTGTAACAGAAAATTAAATATTTTAGGATCACATTAGAATTGCATTTATGAAAATTCCACACCAATCTTATCATAAAGTTTCCACATTAATAAAACTTCTAAACAAATAAATCAATAATTTATAATATAGTTCATGTACACTTATATTATCATAATTTAAACAAGACGTGTACATTACCTCGGTTATCATAATTGAAGCAAGTTTAAACAACATAATTAGTATAAGAGTCCTTAATATTTGACATTAAATAATATAATAATATAATTTATCATGCTATAGCACTAACAAAAATTAATAATGAGGAAACACGTGTAATGGGCAAGCCTTAATCAATTAAGTAATTATCTAAATCATTTTAACTTATCTTATCATCAAATCACAATTACTCAAAAACTTTAAATGACGTTTAATTATGACACATGTACTAATTGGTCATCTTTCTACACGGATAAAAAATCTTAACGACTTAACTAATTAATTATTTTTCAAATCATTTGGACTTATCTTATAATCAAAACACAATTTGTTCAAATTCTTATTTTAAATTAATTTAAACATAAATGTACGAATCACAATATATGTGATCGATTTATTTAGAAATGTTCATTTTCTGCAGGTAAAAAAAAATAAAGAGACGACCGACACGACATAGAGAATTGGTCGGGAGAGGAGAGGAAAAAATGAAATGAAAGCCCTAAAAATCCGAACTTATGGCCTAATGTTTGTTTAGTTAGTGTCGATATTATGGAACATAGTCCAATACTTGATATATTTTATGGAAAATGCTACAAGTATATATAATAAATGTACATATAAGTGTAAATAATACTTATATGGAATGAGGTCCACTTGATTTTTTATTTTTGGTGGGTCTCACTCAATATGAGTGCTATTTACACCCGTATGTACTGGTCACATACTATATATATCCCGTACATTTGTTTTATTCATTTATTAATTTTATAATCGTCACACTCAATTTTACTATGGCTATATACAAAATTACCTTCGAAAAAGCACATAAATTATAATTTTCCCGTGCATCGCACGGGGGATTACTAGTTTTTAATAAATTAATGTAGGTAAACTGTATTGCATATTAATTTTATATTTTTAATTTATATATACTATTTAATAAATTGTAATTTATAAATATTAATAAATATCTCTTACCCGTGTATAACACGTATTTGTATTAGTTGAGAAGAAAATCGTCATCTTGATTTATTTATTGGAAAATTCTAAGGTCCCGTTACGGGATGGTACCGTCAGTGTTTTACACCATTGGATACACATAAAGATTATCTTGTGTGGATAATCTACGGTAACCAATATTGACGGAACCATCCGTCAACGGTGCAGTAGTTTCCTTATTTATTACCCACGTTCACTTTTATAAACTCGGCCCGACTAAACAGGAAGCCCGTGAATACGAAGGGTTTAGATCCCTTTTACTGTCAAGTTTAAGTAGGGTTTTAGATTTTGTCAGTAACAACTGTGTACAGTGAAAATTCAGCTGCAATTCCTTTTGGTTTGCAGTATTTACAACTCCATAATTCTAGCCCCCGCCCCCGCCCCCGCCCCCGCCCGCCCCTTGACCCCGATAGCGTCACGTCGTCCGGCCGCCGCCGCCGCCGCTGCCCCTCGACTCCGACAGCCGCGCGTCATCCCGTTGCCGCCCCCTGTACCAGCCGCTAATTTTAGACATAACCGCTGTAGGAGAGGTAACAGCGAGAGACCAAATATTCAGTTCTCGGGAGCTTTTAATTTCTTGATTCTCGGCAGCTAATACTTATTCCCAGTTTCCCCAATTTGTATCTCTCTCTCTCTCTCTCTCTCTCTCTCTCTCTCTCTCTCTTTCTCTAATATGCAAGTGTAATTTGAAATTGAGGAGAAAAATAGAATTAGGGAAATGTACATATAAGTTGAAAAAAGTAATCTCAGCTTAGAAATTATCATTATCAATCATAAACAAACATGCTAAGAGGCCTCATTTGATCTCAGTAGGATTACTCCTAAAAGTTTTCATGAGAATGAATCAAGCTCAATCCATTACTGCAATCAAATCACCCTAAAAGCCCCTAATTATACAGAACATCGAGTCAATACTGCAATCAAATCACCCTAAAAGCCCCTAATTATGCAGAGCAGCAACACTCTTTGCCGTCAATCAGACCCAAGTCGCCACCAGCAATTCTACCTCAATTCAACAATGAGAGCCCAGAAACGAAGCCGCTCTGGAAGACCCCAAGACGGTGGCTCCGCCAAACTGAGGAAAATTAGGAGAGATGGTACACTAATGAAGCTTATTCTCTTTTTCTCCGTTTTTTCTTTGAGTGAACGATTTGGGTTGTGAATTCGTGATTAGGGTTTAAGGGGCCGAGCAGAGGAGGTAGCAAACCGAAAAAGGAGCAGCCCCGGTATGATGAGGATGCACCTCGAACCCAGATTCAAGGTGCTGGCAAGATGATTCGAATTGGAAATTTGAAGTCCCTTTGAAGCTGCATTGTTATAAAAAGAGCAACTTTTTAATGAATTGGAAATTTGAAGTCCCATTAATTTGGGTTTTGCTGTGATGAATACAGGGGACTCATTTGAGGAGCAGGCAGATGGTGATTTTGAGGTTGAAGAACCTAAAGAAGTTGGGTTCGGACAGCCGACAGTGTATGACGATTTGCTGAGGAAACTAGGATCGCGCAATGTATCTGTTGCAGATGCTTTAAGAAGAAGGTAACATGGGATTTTGTTATGCTAGTTTTTAATCACACTTATTCTTTTTAAAATTTATTATAAATTTTGAGAATTGAAGTGGTGAAGCTGAAGGCTATGTGGTGCAATATAGGAACTAGTATTTAATTTGACCTCCTTCTTGAGTTTACGTTTTTTCATTCATATAAACTGTGTTGTGGTTAAGTATTTTGTTGACTTCGAAATGAGTTTAGCTGATACAGTGTGTTGGTAATTATTAAACAAAACAATGAAGCACTGCTCAACTATGACAACGTTGGCTGGATCATGATTCTCTATTTCCGGCGGAAGCCTGAAAATTTATATTCTTCATTACTGCTCAGAATATATATATGATATGTATGTATATGTATGTATGTACGGATATATGGAACAAAATAAGCAAGCCTTCAGTTATAAATCAAAATTCACCTTTTTAGGAGGCCAGTGCTTTACTAGATTGAGCTTCTATGTTCTTCACTGGTAACGATTTTAGATGACCAAATCATTTTAATTTTACTCCATTTTTTGTAGGCAAAGAGAGGAACAAGGGGAAAGTGATTCAGATGAAGATGTAGACAGTGGTCCAGAATCTATTAATGATTCAGAAGAGACTAAGGATGATGGCGAGGATGGTAATGACTGGACTGGAAATAAACTAAACTATAACTATCATTTATTGGCAATCCAGATTCTTGTTATGCTCTTGTGTAGCTTAAATCATTTGAATGCGGGTTTAATCAGAGAACCTTTTGTTAGCATGTATAGTTTGTGGTGAAAATGATCCCAGGATCCTCTTAATCATAAGCTCCAAAAGCTGGTTTATTACTTGTCCTGTATAAACGTAGCTCGCTCATAGACATACTATTGATGCTATTTTACAGTTTTCATTGCTTGTTAAATATGAAGATTTTAGCAGTGCGATCTTCTCATAGTTGCACATCATTATAGTATTTCTAGATGCAAACTTCCTTGTATAGATGCTTAGTCGCGAATATGCTCTTTGAAAGTGTTGGATAATATATTACTGGATTCTTTAGTGTATTTGTGGATGGAAAACGACTACCAAAATGCATGGGAATAAAGCTTCTTTTATTCTTTATACAACCTTCCTCTCTGAAAAGAGGATTATCAAGAGCTACATAGGCATCATTATGAATATAAAGCAGTGACTATTTGATACGCATGTGTTCATGGACTGATTCACGTATCCCACGCTTTCATTTGGCTAAAGTATTGAGAATTATGAATTTTCTGCATTTGAAGTTCCCAGGGTTGCTCTAGTTTCTTTCCTGAAGATAAGCATAGATGTTACTCGTATTGTAATTTCCTTTTCTCTGATTTAGGAATCGATAATATGCCTGCCAAGGGTAATATTGTTCAAAATAGGGCAAAAGGTGGTGTGGAACTGAGTGAAGATGTTGGGACAGACGAAGATGATGCAACAGTGATGTCTGACACCGATGATGAAAGTGATTTGAGAGTGAATAATCAGTCCCTTTCAGAGAGATCTATGATCTTAAGGTTTTCTCGTATTTACTTGCTACAGTTTATGATTTGTTATCAATCCTTCCTAAGTCTTAAGTTACTTCATGATTTTCGAAATTATTTTTGTTGCGGTTTGAAACGCGTCTCCGCATCAATATTTTCCTTAACTTCCTTCATTTTTGGAATGCATGGAATATCTTAAAATACACATTTAGTTAAGCTACTGTTTTTTTGTTCTTTTTTCTTTCCCCATTATAAGTGACTAGTTTTGAGATACAGCCCACACCTCAAGTTGTAGGTATAATTTTTGGGTCCTAAATTTCCAAGTTGCGTGGATTTTTTTTATTGTTTTCATGATGTTGTTGGTCATAAGGCCAAACCAGCCCTTAATTCCTTTTCAATTATGTCACATAAGAGCTATCTTTTGTTAAATGCAACATTTTGTGAGCTAGCGAACTACATCTTCTATTTTACAAAATAAAACTCATTCAGTTTGTTATTTTCAGATAAATATTTTATTGCGTCAAATCTAGCAATATATACCTTTATGGGCCACTAATAGCACCGATGATGAAATAATTAGCTGATAACACTTTCAGTTCTATGGTGTATGAAAAACTATTCTTTTAAGTCTGCCAGGGGCGGCTTGAATATATTTTTTGTTTAACTTAAATATACCCCTAGAGGCGCTTGATTTATCTTCAAATATTCAACTGAATATAAAACTTAATTTTGTATGGTTTTATATGGAGAAGAATATTTTGATAAAATTTGGAGTGGGATTGTAAGGAGAATTGTGAAATATTTCAATGTGTTAGTTGTCAAAGAATAAGGGGGACATATTTCACTTGTATGGATGAAACATTTGGATTTATTTTTTAAATGTGTTTGAATATATATAGAAGCTCACTTTGTCTCAAGCTGGATGAAGAGCATTTTGACAATGATACTGAAGCGTGGCGTTTTCTTTTTGATGTTTACTCTTGCAGTAGCTTTGACAATCATTTGTCTCACAAAATATCCTCCTCAGAGATTGACCATTTAATGAAAAGAAAATGGAGGTACACATGGAAAATGCCTGCTCTTAACCTGTCAAGTTGCTACTGGAGAGGAACAGGAACATGTGCAATTAAGGTTAGTTGGTTATCTTCTTTTTCTTTTTTGCCTTTGCTTCTGCGTGGCTATTCAGTTCAGTTGAAAATGTGTAGCAAGATTCTAGGTTCTAGGTTATATAGTTAACTGAATGGAGTTTTTTTGAGTGATGTTGTTTACTAACACCAATTGTTGCTACTTTTGTTTGCGTTATTGTGTTTGCATGCTTCTTGTCAATATATGGTTTGATTTTCTGTAAATAGGGAATGATTAATAGCTAGAAATTATGTTTTTTTTATTCATTTTTTTCATAATTGTGTTCTTCTATTTAATAAAAATATTATGTGCGTATACAAAGTACACAATTCCTTTAATTTATTCTTCGTGCTATTAGAGCCACGGCAAACAAAAGGTCCAGAGTTTGTGTATTGTCTTGCTGCTTGATGTGTTGGAGCAGAATAAATTAATTATTATTTGGCTCACCACTGTATCATCTTAAGCTTTTAGTAGGTTTCTTTAACATTTCCATGAAGAGTTACATAGTGCTGAACCTTACCATCATTTTACCGAAGCGTGAATTTACAAATGGCGTCTAATAGGTTACTTAGCATATTTGTCCTGTTTCCTTGTACTTGTTGGCTAAATGATTGGATCTGAAGATTGAGACATTTCTATTACAATTCTAATTCAAGCTAGTATACTCTGAAGTCATGTCTGCAAGATTTTGCTGAGTTATACGTATGATGAGCAAGCTCATTTCTATTGCTATTCTTTAGAGTGTTTCAATTATAGTCTGCTGGATTTTAAACCTCAATGTTATAGAAATTGTATTTTATTTTTCTTGAGTTTCTTGTTTGGCATTTTGTGTGTAAAGGTGAATAAGTTCATCTACTGATAGTTATATTTCACTAATCATTTCTTATACAACAGATGGGTAATCTATTTGCCTAAAGTTGATTTCCACTGTACGTTCTAGAAACTTTGTTTTGAGTTAGTTCTATACTTTATAATTTTTCCAAGGTGTCAAATGGTTTATATGCACTAGCGTATAGCATCTAACAAAATTTTCCATGCAGGATTCTGATGTAAATGCACATTATGATCTGAAGCCAAGATTATACAAGCATTGGCTGGAAATTTTCAATGCTTCAGGAGGCAGTGATTTTCATCAATCTAAACAGAGATCATTTTTCTCTATTTGTGAGTGCATTGAGAAAATCGTAATACCATCTGAATTGCTTAGTTATTTCCCTGATTCATATAGTTGGTTGGATGGTGTCATAACCTCTGATTCTACTGATACTTTTGTAGGTAACAGCTATTATGATATAATGCACCATAACAAGAAGCCCTTTTACCTCAAAGGACTGGAAGAAGATTCAAATATCATGGATGCTTATCTTATGCACTCTGTATGTATATTCCCACTAATTTTTATTAGCATGTTCATGTTGTCAACCATACCTGTCAGTATATTGGTACTTGACATGTTCTACTTCTACCTGTCTTTATTTGAGGTCCTGGCTTCCATTCTTCGTTATAATATCTCAGCTTAACATTATGTAATTATCTATTGCAGTTAAATCACATCTTCAGGAGTAGAGATCTTATGTTAAAAAATGGAAGAATATTGGCCAAGAATCAAGACAGTTTGGAGGGCAAAGCTGTTGACTATGAATCTTATCTCGATCGTGGGTTTACTCGTCCAAAGGTATATTTCATTGCTTTAATGTAATAAATATATCAAATATAATACAATATTAGACAGTTGTCATGATGTTTTCTTCAACCCTTACTTGATCTCCTTTCTGTGGCTGAGGCTACCATGCCTTGATTAGCTGATAAATAAGTAAACTGTGAAAAATTATTTTGCTAGGTAATCTAGGTATGTTATTGAGAATTACTAAACAGAACTAATCTAAACGTGTAAAAAGTAAGAACTATAATAATGATTGACAAACTAAATTAGCTTTTGACTAGTTTTGTGCAACAGATTCTAGTTTTGTTTTGTTTTTTTTTTTTATTATTATTATTATTATTATTATTATTATTTGCTTCACATACCCAATCATGCTTATAGCACAATTTGGCATATATGTGAATCCATTTGCTACTTGTATCATGTCAATATATTTTTTCCATGTTTTGCTTTGATTTCTAGACATCTCCATTCTTTCTATCACATGTGCCAGCTACTATTGCATCATGTTGCGGTTTAACTTGATTTTTTTTCCAGGTTTTGATCCTTTTGCCACTTGCTGGTATTGCGCGTCGAGTTGTCAAGAGGTTGATCCAGTTGACTCCAACTAAGCATAAGGTAGTCATATTACCACTCTGTTATTTGCCCCAATGTCTACTCATTTTCACTTCATAAAATGTCCCAGGTCGGATTAATTGCTGCCATATTCTTATGGATATTCTGTTTGACCACTGTGGATTAGTTGATATTAAAATGGTATTTTGGTTGTGTATAGTTTTTAGTGTTTACAAGTGTTCTGTAAATAATTGTAGTGTTCTGGGGGCTGGTGTTACGTTATTTTGTTCTGGACAGGCCAATGTGGAAAACTTGGAACGTTTTTACGAAGAATTCGGTTCTGGAAGAACTGAGGACAAGGATGGTGAGGATGACCCAGAACTACACAAACCCAAACAGTCTACAAAACCTCCCGACCACCAAGCATTACTGGGTAGGGATAATGACAATGATCACTTTATGATAGGCGTGAAATACACCAACAAGTAAGATTCTGATATCTACATATTGGTTTTTTTGGATATTGAATTTTGTCACAGTTCAAGATACCAGATTCTGGAAAAGCAGTGATAGATTTGCAGGCAATTTTCTATTCTATAAAGTTAATACTTGGGTAAGGGCATCTGTTTATGGAGAATGAGTAGGTGAAATGCATGACAATTGTTTCTAATGATGTACCGAACCCTTAAGAAATGAATGTGGATTTAGTTCCAGTACGTGAAATTATCATGGGAAATGAGTAGCTGAAATGCATGACATTTATTTCTAGTGATGCACTGACCCCTTATCTCAAGAAATTTATGTAGTTCCATCAGGTAAAATTATTTTGTCTTCTGACATACAACTGTTTTTGTATTACAACTTTCAGATTGCTAAGTATCTTAATTTGTTTTGAAGTAGCTGGATAAATTATCTAGTAAATGTTTGCAAAAGAAGTTCTGCTGGTCTGTTGGCTGTCGAGAACATATTGGTTTATGGGCGGCTTAGGCGATATCTTACATCACTTGCTAATATTTTTTGTTTTTGACAGGGGAATAAATTTGTATGGTGATTTCTACTCATCGGATGTCCTTATTGCCTCTCCTCTGGGCATAATCACTGTTAGTCTCTTGAATGTTGATTTCTCGAATGTTATTCAATATATATTTTTTTGGATGATTTAGAATTTGCAGATACTTAGCTTTTTTGTAATTGCAAATTAATTCATTTATGTTGTGCAGTTAAGATGCGCCATTTAGTTTATGTGTTTGTTAGACATATCTCACAAGTCTTGCATCTTTCACTTTTTTTTTTTGTTCATTAGTAAATAGCGCTTCTTAATTATTTATATGCTCATTTTCTAAGATGATGGGACCATTTTGCTTTCTACCGTGATCCTAGCAGCATTGACATAAATCATATTTAACTAAAGTTTTCTTCTGCAGAAAATTGGGGAGGCAGAAGTTGACAAAGAAAAAGATTTTGATTATCTATCTTCAATAGAAGTAAGCACATGAATATTAATAGTCCTCGATATTAGTTTGGTCCAGAAAAATGTCCATGATCAGCCTGTACTAAATGATGAACAATCTTATGTGACAGATCTTAATCATTGATCATGCAGATATCATGCTAATGCAGGTTTGTAAAATAATTGCGCGTCCACTGTCTGTATGGTCGTATATTGTTATCTTACTGTGGATTTTTTTTTTTTTTTCTCTCTGACTTTTTATTTTGTTTTAATAAATATCCCAGAATTGGTCCCATGTGAATACTGTTGTTGAACATATGAATAAACTGCCGTCTAAGCAACATGGAACCGATATTATGCGCATTAGGCCATGGTATGTTTTGAACTTTCATTTGTCGTATATCTGCCCTGCCTGCATTATTGGATATTGAATGGAATAATTTTGTGTATGGGGCGTTTATTGGCCCTTTATTATTCATTGTTGTTATTATATCACGACTCATGTGCTATAAGGAACTGTTGCATGCGTAGATCTATGCAAAAGCATTAACTACACTTTCGTCTTGACAGATTAAAGTAGTGATATAGTGAAGTGCATTTTGAGCTGTGTATTTCTCTTCCATCCTCTCATTTATCTTTTTGCTGCAAATGTTCCTTCATTATCAGGTACCTGGATGGACAAGCACGGTTCTATCGGCAAACAATAATTTTGAGTTCTCATGTAAATCCAGGTAATGAATATGAAATATTTCTTTTGTTATTTTCCGGTAGTGATAATATCATAGATGGATTTATGCACCTGATTGCGTTACATTGCCTGAAATAGGTAGACCTGTGATTTTTTATCCAGTCAATTGATTTATTGACAGCCCGGCATTCATTTATGTGTGTTTATGTTCTTTTTCTTGTCTTATATTCTCACTTTCTTCATTCCCTTTGTTTAACATTGGAGCATATTTTTTTTTATCATTAATGCTACATTGAAATATTGCTCTTTTTGTCTGAAATATTTATATAATTTATGTCTGATCTGCATCTTTGTTTCTATTTTTAATTTTTGCTTTTGCAGAACTCAATGCCCTTTTTAATCAACATTGCCTTAATTACCAGGGAAAGGTTCGTAAATGTTCTGGATGTATTTTGAAATTGTGTTACTTGCTCCAAACTATGTCTGACATGGTTTAAGTACTTCTTCTTCCTTGCATTGAGGCGAAATTTGTTTACGTTATCCAATATTGAGCTGGGCAAGGCCGATCTCCTCAATGGTTTCTGCATCCGAAAGATATACTCTTTCTTTAACTGCCGGGAAAGCCAATAATTTAAGGGGTGATTGTTTATGAATCCAACTCAGAAAAACCAATCAAAACTCAAATTTAATTCAATTTTTACCCAACCCCACTATCTTCAGTATTATCAATGTAATTAAATAATATCAACCAATCATTCTTACACATCACATCAACTTTAATTCACTATTCACCCATCACATAATTTTATTAACTAACCATCACTTCCAATCATTTTTCTCATACTTCACATCAAATCAACTTTAATTATTTTATTTAAATATTTTTTTTAATATATCAACTAACAACTAACTATACCACATTTTTTTCAAAATTAACTATATTAAAAAAACAAACCAAATAAAAACTAGTTGAATCCATAAATAATCACCCCCTTAATTGCCTTCATTTTGAAATATATAATATTTATGGTTTTTATTTCCTTAAATATGGAACTTTCCCAAAGACAATAGCCATGTTTTGGGGTAGCATGTTCTTTTTTTTTTTAATTTATTCGAAGTACTCTATTCGCTGATGAAGTAGAATCATTCTGAACACTATAATAGCAGAATAATTGATTTGCTGAAATCTTGGACAATGAAAATGTGGATTACTATTATTAGAATTAAATCTAGTAACCTTAGATATATGGTAGCTTAATTAACCAAATTGCCAATTGTAATAAGCTCTATTAGGCTATTAGTTTCAGTTGAGTAGTTTGGTTTATTCGCATTCGAGCGACTCCATTTTAGAATTGTGAGCTAAAGAAAATTATTATAAAAAAAAGTTGGGGATTTTCAATCACTTCATATATTGACTTCTGAATGTTCTTTTATAATGTTAGGTTAGATGAATCCAGTAAATACTGTTTGTTAATTAATGTAACTCCCCTAATATCTTCTGGCTTGCGGTTATTAATTGTTCTTGCATCTGTTTATTTTGGATATAGAAATCGTCACTTTCCTGGCTTTGCAGGTCAAATTGGAGTGCAAGTATAAAGGTGTTCTTCCAAAAATATTAATTCCAGTGCGACAGGTGAATATAATTGTCAATTTTAAGATGATCAATGCTATGTTTGGATCACATAGCTACTAGTATAGGTTTATGTGACTTAATAAGTTATTTTCTAATTCATATGCATCAATTTGTTGCTCTTCAATCAAGAGTTTCATGGTCTTGCCTATGGTTTGCATTTGATCTTGGAAGAGACTGCGACACCTTTTTTCCTTCTAAACTGACACTATATTTTTCATATCTAGATACATTCATTGAGTAGCTTTGTCTTGATACTATATACGAAATTGTATGTTGTTGCATGCATATTTGCAATCTGGTTTGTTCTTAATCTCTTTTCCCCTTATTAAAGACTGTTATATTTTCTTGTACTTGCTTTCAGTATTTATTTGTAATTCACATTATTGATTTTGCAGATTTATGAGCGTTTTGATACTGAATCTATAGCAGAAGCTGATGATGCTCGACTTAAATATTTTTGTGAAAAGGTTTGTCTAAACTTGCTTTATGGACTATGGCTCAGTGATATTCTGTTGGTTAATCAACATGCACCTAAACTGATATAACCAGGTTTGAAGATATTCTGTAATTGTTCTTTTTTCTGTTATCTATATAGCTGTAAATGTTTTGGCATGTTTTGGAAGAGATTATTGTAACACTCAATTTCTAGTTCGTGCTTAGTTAGAAAAATAATTATGCCAAGCACTCGAAGTGATGGTTAAACTGATTTGTAGCGTGCTAATTGAACGGGTGTCATGTGATTTGTTTTCTTTACTAGAATTGAGTGCTCGAATATTATCATTTTTCTATTAAGAGGAGAAATGATGTAGGATCTTGATTCAGATCCTTTTAAGTATTGGTAGGAGGCTGCAACTAAGCAAACAGCAAAATCACTTGAAACCAGTTTTAGGACAACTTTAAGTTTTAAACACATTTTTTCATGGATATTGGACCACAATGTAGAAACACATGTTTTTGGCTGGTTTCATATCTGATGGTCAATGGAGGTTGACTCGGAAAATTTTCCACCGTTAATTATTTTAGTAGAGCCATTTTTTGAGTAAAATCAGAAGACTAATTATATGATTTTCAATTTCAAACTAGAACTGGCTTCTTTTGGTATGCACCATTCAAGGGTTGACATTATTTTTCTCATTCTTTTCCAGGTTTTCCCCAAGATAAAAGATTCTGTTCAGGTAATATTTGGGCTCGATATATATATATATATATATATATATGGTCATGTGTTTTCATTATCATGCATCCACAGAAAATGTAAAACCTTTCTGCATATACTCTTTTTCATGCAGAATGGTGTAATGATATTTATTAGTTCTTACTTTGAGTTTGTCCGACTCCGGAATTATTTGAAGTCACAAGCTGCTTCCGTCTGCTTGTTCGGAGAGTAAGAAAATATTGTTTCTTTTCATAATTCTGAACTTCCTTTGCATATATTTCTGAGTTTATTTATTCAATTTGATGGTTCCTATTCAAGTTCCCTGCAGCACTTTCAATGAGATTTTACTCTATTATACAGGTATATAAAACGAAACGATATATCTCATGTTCGGGGGCAGTTTTTCAGAGGGGAAAAGAAAATTATGCTTTATACCGAGAGAGCCCATTTCTACTACAGATACAAGGTAGTTCTCTTTTATATATTTATTCGATACCCAATTTGTTTTGTTATTTGGGGTACTCTGTTACTTCCGTGGACCTTAAAAATTCTAATTTTTATACATTAGTAAACATTAAAGAGTTTATGATACCAAATATTATTCGTTTAGTATAAACATATATTATTCTTCGTAACAAAGTATCACTTTCAGCTTTAAGAAGCGTCATCGGCTATCAGATTTGTCTCTGTAATCCTGTGAACCTATGGCTAAAATGTGAAACGAGATTTTCACGAAAAATACTAGTTTCTTGTCCGATATGATCTTGTCTATATGGAACGTTATGCTCTGTGAACACCATGATCTAGGCATGTTTTCCTCTCGATTTGCATGGATCTGTCCTTTTTTTATTTTTTCAGAGTTGAGGAATGCCAATATTAGAACTGAAAACATTGGAGTGTGATAAACTCAAATCAATGAATTAGATTGTAACATATAGTATGATGTTCTGGAGAAAAATAAGAATTCGAAAATGGTAAAGATTCACTTCCTAGTTTTGGGTAATTCCTCAGTTGATTTACCGTTGTGAAATAAATTGGCAACTGACACTCATGCATTTGCTAATTTTAAACAATTGGAGTCTGACTTTGCTCTTCATCGAGGTTGTTGGCTAGGTTTCGGGATTAAGCTGATTTTCGTGCAGGGATATTTTCTTTTTCTAGCAGAACATTTTATTATTGCCTACATGTCCGAACCTTGACCACAATCTTGCCAACGTGAAGCAGAAAGACAGTGTTTTGCAGTCTTATCCTATTCATCCTTTATTATTTTTTCTTTGCTTTTTTTTTTCTTCTTTTAAATAGATTCGTGGCGTGAAGAACTTAATCATCTATTCCCTGCCCGAGAGAAAAGAATTTTACCCTGAGGTAACACATTTTTTCTTCTCACTTTATTTCTTTAACTTCTCCTGAAAGTCATGTCCAACCCTTTGCACGTATGAATGAACATTTCTTTGTTTTACTATATTTCCATTTCATTTACTCGTTCTGCAGATTGTTAACTTGCTGGAAGAGTCAGACAGCATGAATTGCAGAGTCCTATTTTCTCGTTTGGATCATCTTCGGGTATGCAAATCCAAAAGTTTTAGGAAGATAAATTGATGGCAACTTTTCATAACTACCACTGTTTATGTCTGTGTTCAAAATATTGCACTTTTAGTCTCTTACGACCGAAAAAACGACTCAAGTAAACCAATATTATTATTACAGCCAAAAGTGTCATTTTTGCAACGAGAAAGTGAAAGGGTGGTATCCTTGCAATGTTCCTTTCATCAGTTTTTGATATAATATATTTTGCAAATTCATGCTGGTACTTCAAATTAATTTATTTTTCCTGGTGCGCCATTGTTAGCTGGAGAGAATAGTTGGTTCTGCTGCTGCAAAACGGATGGTCGACTCAGAGAAGTCTGTTTTTGTTTTCGCTTAGAAATTTATCGACATGTGTTATGTTAGTCGACAAGCGACATTTGAAAGCTCGAGAGGATCGTTTGTCCTACTGCAAAATGGATGGTCGACTCAGAGAAATGTATAAATTAATCGACATGAGTTACATTAGTCGCCAAGTGACATTCGATAGGTTTAACTACGCGTTGATGTGATGTTTTACGTGTAAGCGGAACTCTGATTTGAGTTGAATTTGACCGAGTCGAGATACAAGTGACGAGTTAAGTTCTCTGTATGAGCATACGGATTATAGACAAAATTACAATCGACTTACCCAGGAAATTTGTTCTGTGTCTGGAGTTTTCAGGATTGTATGTGTTTTTTATATTTATTTATTATTTATTATTTGTTTGTTTTCTAACATTTTTCTATCAAATTATGCACTAAATGTTTGATAAGTCCATATATTTATTTATAAATAAATATATAATAAAAATGATAAAAAAAAAAATTGTGGATTTTGAATGTGAAGTCAAAGCTGATCCAAGTCCAACTGCCTTTGTCCAAAGTTAATTCAGGTGCATTCAATTTTTTCTTCTATCCCTTTTTCTTTCTTGAGTTTTCAAAAGATTCTATTCCCACAACAGTGAAACCAATCACAAACCCCTCCTATCTAAAAAATAAAAAATTAAAATAATACAGAGCATCAGGTCAAATATCAGTAGAAATGATTTCTGATCATCCTCTAATAGTAAGTGTCATAAATTATACGGAAAATTCCATTTAAATCCCCCCTCCCTTTTACAATATTCTGTTCAGTTCCCCCTTTAATTTTTTTTCCTCTGCACTCCCTTCCCTTTATTTTGTTTTTCCATTTCACTCCCCCTATATAAACCAAGCTTATTATTATTCATTTATTTTTTGCCATTTTATTCATAAAGTAAAGTCTCTCTCTCTCCTCAATTTTTATCAGTTTTCTGTCGCCGCTCTCTTCTCTCTCTGCTCGTTTTTTCGTCGCCGGTCTCTTCTCTTTTTCTGTTCGTTTTTCATCGACATCGCCATAGCCATCGCCACCTCTGCGCTGTCTCTCTCTGTGTTCGTTCATCACCATCGCCCGCCATCTTCGTCTCTATCTCTTTCTCCGTCACTTCGCCATCTCTGTGAAGAAATGGCCGGCTCCAAAAAGAAGTCTCCATGCAAACCGTCCTCCTCGACACCCACGAAGGTAAATTCGGATTTTTG